GGACGCCGTGCGGTGCGGGCAGGTTTGGAATAGGCGGGTCGGGGGTCGGGGGCTGCGACGGCTCCGGGGTGTCCTCGGGGAGGGGGGATCCGGTGGGTCGAGCGTCCCGGCTCCTCGCAGCAGTATTGTGGAAGGGTCGCCGCCGAGGAGCGCTCGGACGGCTCTTTTAGGGGTTCTTTCTTCCCCTCCCTGCGGAAAGTTGCTGTTTGGCTTTGATTCCGCCAGACGTTTAGTCAGCACAAAGGAGCTGCAACCTTTAAGATTTAGAACAAGCTAAAGTAGGAGAAGTAGATCGTGCTTTGTTCAGAGTTTGTATAAATTCTAGGGGTTTGTTTTTGTTTTGTTTTTCCTTGTGTGTGTGTCTCAAAACCTGGTGGGCTGTGATCTAAGAGTACTTTCAGTGTGTTGTCCGGCTTGCAGGCTGACAGGCTGACCTGAAGGGATCTTCGAAAGGTGATAAAAAATTGTTAGCTCCAGCCCAGCAGGTTTAAATCTGGACTCTGCATCTGCTTGGGAAAGTCCCAGGGGTGTCTGGAAACTGAAGGACGTTGAAAACCTCCCTTAAGGAAAACTTGCTGCCTCCTGTAATTACAGGCTGCTCTCCTGCTTCTGAGTTGCTGCCTCTGGGAAACTTTGGTTAATAGGTTAAGCCCTTTTACAGTTTCTGCAGGTGGGGAGAATTAAGAGCTGGCATGGGCTCTTTTGTTGGGAATGAGGAAACTTGAAAATGTTTCCTTATCCGCACGATTTTTGAGGACGGTTTTCTGTGGTTGAAGGTCGTTGTACCCTAGCCCCTTCTTCTACCTGTATTCCTTAGGATGCACCACACATGCCTGGAGGCTGCTAATTGCCCTGGGACTCATTAGAGGCAACAGTGCTGAGCTGATTCTGCCTCCGCCCTTAGTGGGGATGTCACTGCAGGCTCCTTAGCTACATGAATTGCGTACTGCTTCACAAAGGCTGTAGGAATTTGATCAGCATTGAAACTTTTACAGTCTCCAAAATCTTTCTGCACTAAAAAAAAAAAAAGACTGTGTGCTGTGTATTAGTGTTCCCATGGAAACCAAGGATAGCATGAAAACGATGCTAAGTTCATGAAAACGGTGCTAAGTGCTGCACTGACGTATACGCAGTAAAATGATTACATGTAGGCAGACGTTAAAAGTTACACTGATGCGAAGGTCCAGTGAGGGAAGTATCTTTTTCAACTCCTTAAAACTCCTTCTGTTGTGAATGCTTTTTACAAGCTCTGAACCATCTCAGTGGTGTTGAATAGAGTATTATGAATAGCTTTTATAACATTTGAGCTGCTACTTGTTTGAGTGCAGTTAATATTAAAGTTTAAAAGTTAATCTGTGTTAATTTCTGTTATAGTAAGTGTTTGTTACCAGTGCTCCAAATTGATTTTATTGCATAAGGGAAAAATAGGTAGTGACTCAGTTTTATAAATGGTTATAGGAGAGTAGATTTCTGTGTGAGGATCTATCATTGTAGATTTCTCAAGTCTGTTTATCTGTTTAATTTCCAGGTGCAAAAAGAAGATAATTGCTGTTCTAACACTAGATAATGTTATATTGTTGTTGTTTGTCATTAAATTGGAATACAAAATGCCAGCTGTTGAAGATCTATGTAGTGAACCAAACTTCACTGCACGCTGGATGTCTGATACTTCCCGTGCTGGAGTCTTATTAGATCCTAATTTTCCTGGGCTGAAAATCAACAAAAAAGATATTTTATCTGGACATGAAAATATCACAGCTGATGTTGATGAAGTGCTGCATTTTTCAAGCAGTTACTCTATAAGTGAGGACTCCTTGTGTGAAGAGCAAATACTGGAATCCAGTAGCTCTTGTAGAGCTCAGCAACATAGCAATGAAACAACTTTTCCAACAGCAGCAGCATTTACTTCAGAAGCCTCTAAAAGAGCGCTTGTCCATGGTGAAGAGGATGGTCAGAATATGTTGCACTACAATCATCCACTCTTACAAAAGCTTGAGCAGGTAAAAGTTAGAAAATTATTGACATAAGCCAGCTACTATTTAGCTGCATATGATCTTGCACATGATTTGTCATACCTAAAAGTAAGCAAAACTTTCAGTGTATAGAACAGACACTGCTCAAACAGCAAGTCTCTACACATGAATAAAGATTGTTGTCTTCCTTTTTACGATGTGCAGTTATTGAAGACTTAATGTCTTTTTTTTTTTTCAGCTGGCAAATGTTCCAGGTCAGTAATGAAAGTGTATTTGCTGGCAGAGGTATATGTTGTCACTTTTTTTTTTAATTGAAAAGGCGTATTTTGTTTTAGAGCAAACCATTATTATTTCATTCAAGGCTGTCAAAACAGAGTGCTAATGCTGGTCATTACAGTGGTAGGTAGTACTTCAGTCCAAATATTTCAGTACATTGGAAAATCACAGAGGAATGCAGTGTAGTTGCATGTCCTTGCAACATAGCAAGGAACATCTTCTAATAGTTCTCAAAATAGGTATGTGGACCCATATGCCAGGCTCTGTTTAGATGTTGAGAGATTTTAGTATCCAAGACTTTGAGACCAAAAAGCCTAGATTTACGACCCTATGATTGATTCCCTTCCTACCCACACCCGGCCTCTTGCAGTGATCTTGCCAGTTAAGTCACTGTAATTGGCTGTGTCTGCTTGTAGCTCACCCTGGTTGCCAATGTTATCTGAAAATGTTGAGAGACACTGCAATAAGTCTTGCTTTTTGCAAACAAGAACTTGCTAACCTCCCCATCCCTTTTGCTAGATGTTATTGCTATTTTTTACATTTAGGAAAATCTATCCACTTTTCCAATAATGTCAGTAGTATGCAGCTTTTCCTCAATAATGGATATTAGTTGATCCTAATGTTGATATATGAAGAGAAATTGTCAAGTGTTAAGACTAGTAGAATTGTTAGGTAAACTGGAAATAGTTATTACCATTTATTAGAAAGAGCATTTATAGATTTAAAAGACAGTTTTGTTCAAGATAGCGCTTCATGCTTTTAGATTTTTTAATTTTATTTTTTACTTGTCTAATGGAGTATCTTTAAAATAGCATACACTGTTGTTTTGATAACGCTTATTTGGATATATATTCTAAGTAAATTTATACTTTTTTTTACTTGAAAAGCTAAAGGAATTGCAACAAAAGAAACAAGAACAGCTGAAGAAACAACAGATGGAACAACTTCAAAGGCTTATGGAAGAGAAGCAGAAACTACTTAGCATGGTATCTGCTCAGACAGCAGTTTGTGGTAAGTTGAGAAATAAAGCAGAGGAGATGCCCTGAATAAATTGAGGAGTTGGATTTCATTTTCCAGCTAAAATGTGAAAGTATATTTGATGTTCTTCATCTTAAAACTACTTAATTAGTCAATGATAAATGCTGCATCATTTCGGTGATTGGTAATATTACTTCTTCAGTAGCATTCAAATATCCTGTTGTTATAAAATGCTGAATAAACCTGCTTTATGGAGGGAGCCTTTGTTTCAAAGAACATAGTCTAAATATAAAAGACAGTATAAAACAGCTCCTGTCCTCTCTGATTAGCTCTTCCTAGCAGTATTTTTGATTACTTTAGCCTGGTGCTGTATCCAAGAGACCTGGTCCTTGTTTGTGATTGGGCAGTACAAGTTGTTCAGGTGGTGAGCTGGACTGGGAAGCTGATCGGTGTCGTGGGTTTTTTGTTTGTTTGTTTGCTTAAATAAAAGGGGTGAAAAGAACGAACCAACCAAAACCAAACACTTGTAACCTGGATCAGTTTTCCAGTTGATTTTTTTTTTTGGTGTGTGGTGGGGTGTGCTGTGTGTGTGCAAAGGGAGGGGACAGCACTGGAATGAAATAAATAAAAAAAATCCAGTCAGCTGAGCGTGGGCACTTCATTTGCTGGCCATGCCAACTTGAATGACTATCTTCCTTTCTCTCAGCCCCTGAGAAAGGTAGCTTTGAGATTAGTCTTATGTGAAGCAAAAAGCAGATTACCTCATGGCTTATTGTTATCAGAAATATAAGGATGGGCGATCAGTCTTGCTCTTCAGTGCCATTTCTTTTGTTTTTGGAATAGTAGTGATATAATAATACAATGAGAGACCTTTGTTTCTTTTTACTTCAAGGTTCTGCTCTAGTAGCTGAAGGTCAAAACCTAAGATCTGAACACTCACTGGGCTTGACAGCTTTACAGTTTCCATCATCTCTCTATCAGAACCACAGTGAAGTCAGAGCTTTTGCTGTCAGTAATGTTTCTTCACAGACCCAGGACAGCAGGTTTTTACAGAACAACAAGGAACGCATCTCATCTTCGGCGAGCAGCCTTCCAGCTGTGTCTGCCTGTGAGAAACAATGTCTGGGTGCACCTCTGAAAATGCAGAATTGCTTGGAAAGCAATGAAGAAGACAAATATAACATGGGTTAGTCATTTGTTGAAAGATGCACCTTTTTAAGATAACTTGGTGTGCATGATGGTTTTGTTTGTTTGTTTGTTTGTTTCCCCTGATGGGTACTGAGTGTGATGATTTTCTACCATTTATTGTGAAGTTTTTAGGCTGGTGTACCAATTAGTGTTAAGGCCTATGTATGATAAAGACTGTGAAAATAATAAATAATGACAAATCTTGGATAGCTTGATAAATGCTTTGTAAAATTAGAATGCTTTGTAAAAAGTAGAGAAAAAAATGATATTATGTTAGAAAAAAAAAACCCACCATTTTTCTGTCATTTCATAGGAAAAAGCTTGCGGTGTCCAGAACAAAAGATGGAAGAATCAGTGGAGAGCAAAGAGTGCCACATGGATCATGTATGTGTTGAAAATGCAGATTTCTCAGAAAATTCCAGTGGAGAAAACCACTTACGGGTGACTAATACAGAAGAAAGGTAATTAAAGTCCTGGTTCTGTGTATTTTTTTTATTAAATGACTAAGATTAGTTTGACCAATTTCTGAGTCTTGATTGAAGGAATCTAAAATGCTCAATTTGTATGGCTTTCCCAACCAGGATTTCATTTTGCTAGATACTGTAGAGAGCAGTTTTAGAGAAGCTCTAGCTTGAAACCACTTGTGCTGTGAAAGACATGGCAGAGAGATGCGTGCAGCACAAGGTAATGATAGTTTAGAAGCACACTTGCTATAGAGTTAGTTATAATTACTGCTCTGAGCTTGGTTAATTACAGCCACCGTTAGATGGGAAAAGAAGTAAAGTGAAGGGGGCATCTAGGGCCCCTTCTATTACCAGGAGTTTCGTTATAAGCAGCTGTGCATGGTCAAGAAGTAACAACTGCTTGTGGGAGAAGCCTTCTCATGTATGGAAATAACTTTGTTCCTGGAGCTGGTGCAGTAAAAATAGTGTCTGGAATTGTTTTAAAGCTCAGCCTTAGCTGCCTGGTCATCGCAAAGCCAAGAAATAGTTATTCCAGACAATGAAGGATTAGGAGGATCTAATCAAAGTGGGATCTAAGGAACATTATCTTAGTAGCATTACTGTGAATCAGCATTATAACTGTGTTGCATAACTTGGCAGCATGACTAAAATCTGAGCAAAGTTTTGATTCAGACAGATGATCACATCGTTGAAAAAAGCAGTGAAAGAAGAAACAACAAAACTTGCATACAGTATCTTCTGTATATATCATTTATTACAGCAAGGATTTGATAAACTCATTCTCCAAAGACAGGGATACAGTGGTATTGCAATTCTTGGGGTAACTTTGGCACTTAATGAGTGAAGTACTTCATAATGTGTCATCTTTTGTGTAATTAGATCTTAGGTCTGTAAATAGCAAGGATGTAAATAGCAATGATGTTAAACACAGTTATTTTATATAAAATGTAAGACATGGTTCTGAATTGCACCAGGCCTATTAAAGCTGGGATTCAGGAGAAGAAACGGACATTTGAAGAATTCCTGGAAGAACAGATACAGCTAGAAGAGCAGCGTCTGAAGCAAAACCATGAGTTACAGGTTCTTTCATTTTTTTTTTAACTTTATTATTCTTTACATATTGTGACAAAACATTATAGGTGTCTCGCACAAATGTACAATTAAATGGAATGTTTTTTTTTTTAAAACAACAAACCTCAATTATTTCATTTGTTTTAAGAGATCTTTCAAAATCTAGTAGAGACACCCTATATACCTACTCATATGTGGGATTATTTGAGGAAGCCTTGAACTGTGTAAGGGGCTTTTAACACTTTGCTGCTTTTTTGTTTTTTACCTGCTTACAGGAAAGAAGTAGATCAACCATTCAAAAACCAGTGATCAAAAGACCCTTCCTGAAAAGAGGAGAAGGCTTAACAAGGTTTACTAGTGCCAAATTGAAAGTAAAAAAACTTAGAGAAAACAACCCAAAGCCTCAACAAAGTGTTGCAGAGGACAGATCACAAATACAGAAGAAAACTCTGCCTCTTAGCAAAGAACCAGTCTCTCAGAGCTCTTTTGCACCATGTAAAAAATATAACCAGTCTGGTAAAGTAAAGCAGGGTCTGATACAGAAAACCCTGGTACCGAGGAATCGTAGTGGAAAAAATTCCTTCCCATTAGAAACCAGGGTGCAAACAGGAAAGAATCTTGATGGACAGACAAGAGATTCTTTCTTATCAGAAGTTAACAACAAAATAGAAAATAAAGAGAACATCATGGAATTTGGTAAATCCATTAATATGGGCAACAGAATCAGAAACAAATTCCCTGAGATGGAAAAGCCTCAGTTGTGCTGTGAGCTGACCAGTGCCTCTTCTAATCCTAAGGGTTCTGTAAGTCACTCTCTCAGAGGTCCAGAACAGTCTTTTGAAGTTTCATTTCAGAATAAGCTGGAAAACTGGGAAAAAGAAAAGGAAAAAGAAAATCTGGAATTAGATGAATTCTTGTTCCTAGAACAAGCTGCGGATGAAATATCCTTCTCAAGTAATTCCTCATTTGTGCAAAGGATCTTGGATCAAGATCAGCAGACTTTAAAAGGACGGAGAATGTCGTCTACCCCTATCAAGGCAAAACAACAGCAAGGAAACGCACTGTCTGTTACACTTAAAAACAAGAAAAATAAAAAGGCGAACTCTGACACACAGGGAAATAAAAATGACAGAGCAGTTCTACATACAGCATCAACTTCAGGGACAGCTTTGAGACTGAAGGATCAGTTCAATAAAACAGATAGTGTAATGTTTTCAGCTTCTTCCATGACAGTAGCTCCTGCTCTAAAAAATACTCCGTGGATTGTAACTGAGGATAAGGATGAAGGAACTAGTGATATTACTACAGATTCTGAGACAGAATCTGAGACCACTTTAAAATGTGAAAGTGAAGATGCTAATACATCTTTTCTGAGCCATAGAGAAAGTGATCCAGAACTTTTTGGTTATGGAAGTACTGTTACAAACATTAACAGAGAAAGAAAAAGTGGAGATGCTGACCTTGACTTGCCAGACAAAGATTGCAGTGCCCTGTCAAAGCAAAGCAGAGCTTCAGACTGTCAGAGAAGCACATCTCGTTTAAATAGGAGTAGGTTTGAGTTTGATGATGAAAGAACATGGAGTGATCTTGATGAAAACTTGGTTCAGAATGATTTACCTGAAAAATGTGCACTTAAAATGCCCATACAGGCCGAATTTTCCTGTAAAAATGATACCTTTGTCCCAGATAAAACAATAAAGAGAAAAGTTGCCTCAAAGAGAGGAGATGAACTGTCTGAAGAGCCTGCAGCAGACGATGATTCAAATGGACCCCCCGCATCAAACCTGATGATGAAACTGTTTCCTTCACTGAAACCAAAACAGAAACCAGGCTGTCCCTCAGAGCATGAAGTCAAACCAAATGGGGAACAGGAGCCAGGAGGTGAGAAAACAGTAACTGGTAGGAAATAGTGAAATGGGAATGTATTAAGTCTTTCCTTCTAAGATGTAAGATACAGTTTAACATTACACCACAAGGAATAATCCTGAACTTCTGCTGGAGGGAATGCCCCCCTTAGCCTTAATCTCCTCTCGCAGTTGCACGTCTGCTGTTTCTCCTCGTGCCAGATCTAGCAATTGTGCAGCTTGCAATGAGTAGGAACAGAGAACATTTATTTATTTATAAACAAATTAGTTTCTTTCTGAGGGCTAGTTTTCTGTCAGACCAGCACATACTGGCATAACCTGAAGCTGCTTAATCATGGCTCCTAAATTGCAGGAAGCAACAATGGGACGCAGAGGATGAAGTTGGACCTCCCTTTTCTGTGGCAGAGCACACTTACACCACAGTAGGGTAATGTCAGGCACTGGGAGCTCTTGTTCTTACAACATGGGGTGTCCGTGTTCTAACAACAAAATAGAAAATAAAGAGAACATCCTATCAACTGATAAATTCTCTTCTAACTTGGGAAGTCCTTTCTTTGTTTAGAACTAACAGTTCAGTACAGAACTCCCATGGAAAATGGGAAACCTTCATTTTCTTGCTCTGCCCAAGCTGATTTCAACTATTTCTAAGGGAAAGGTTAATAGTCTGGGGAAGGGCTGCCTGTGAAAGCTCCTGTAGAAGCTGTTGCAGCAGCAAGATTGGGAGAAATGCAGTTGTTCAATAGGAGCCTGACAGTATAAGCCTGGTGTTCAAATCTTTTCCCCAAGCGGAAATCCTTCCTCTGGAGGTAATGGAAGTTTGATTGCAAGCTTTGCTCCAAAGAATGTTAATGACTTTTTTTCTTTAAATGAAAATTTCATATGAAAGCTGCTTTCTTTTCTGTATGTTTTTTTGAAGCTCCAAAGAATGTTAATGACTTTTTTTTTAATGAAAATTTCATATGAAAGCTGGTTTCTTTTCTGTATGTTTTTTGGAGAGCTTATTTTGCAGCATGTCTAAAAATGACTAGTAGATCTTGTTTGCAGGGAGCAAGAGGGTAGGTATTTACTGACTCTGAGGAGCACTGCTACACTGCACCGTTAAGGAGCAAGAGGGTAGGTATTTACTGACTGAGGAGCACTGCTTTGGGCACTTCCTTGCCTGCCTAGAAGCAGACCATAAAAACTGCAGGTAAGCTGAGGCTAAACAGGAGACTTGTTAGAGCAAAGAAGCCAACAAATCCTCCTATGGATCCTCTACACTTTCATTTAATCTCTCAAGCTTGACATGAAAATCTGCTGCAAATTCCAATTCCTAATACATATTTAGGTTCATGAAAATAATGGATATATGCTTGCTATTCAACCTGCCTAGGTTAATGGTGCATGGTGCTTTTTAGAATATCATTATTATCTTTAGTGAAATTAAATTTTATTATTTTAAAGTGGGATAGTTGTTTGCTTGCTGTGTACATAATTTATATCTTGTTCTTTGTTAGGAATCACTGTTCCATCCCAGTTACTAAAAGAGAAACTCACCGAGTTGGAAACTGAGATTGAGCGATTCAGAGCTGAGAACACAACTCTAACCAAACTCCGTGAAGAAAGAGAGCATGCCTTGGCAAGTCTCAGGTACTTCCATTGAAAATACTTTTGTGTATTCATCTCGAGAACATGTTCCAAACTGTCATATTCTGTTCCTACCCACACGGTATTGCTGTAACGTAAGTATATAATTGGTGGGTTTCAATAAAATATACAGAGCAACCACGAGTTGCACTGTATTTACTACTCATACGTGAAGTGCTAATCTAGGAATGTGAAGGTTGGGGGCAGTGTTGGCTGCAGTGACCATGAGATGATGGAATTCACGATCCTGTGAGGAGGAAGCTGGACAAGAAGTAGGATTGCAACCCCAGATTTGAGAGCTAACTTTGGCCTCTTCAGGGAGCTCCTTGGAGGGTCCTAGAAGGAAAGGGGGTCCAGGAGAGTTGGACAATATTCAAGTACCACTTTCTCCAAGCTCAGGATTGGTGCATTCCTACAAGAAAAAAGTTGGGCAAGGTGGGCAGAAGAGCTGCATGGATGGGCAAGGAACTGTTGGGTAAACTAAATGAGAAAAAGAGCACGTACATAATGTGGAAGAAGGGCCAGGCCAGATGGGAGGAATATAGGAACATTGTCAGAGAGTGCAGGGATACAACAAGGAAGGCCAATGCCTGTTTGGAATTAGTGTTAGTGAGAGATGTCAGGGGCAACAGGAAGGGCTTCTACAAACACATCAGCAGCAAGAGGAAGGCTAGGGAAAACGTTGCTCTGCTGCTGAATGGGGAGGGTGCCTTGGTGACAGAG